AGGCCCTGAATGCAGATATGGCATTTTTGTTGATAAAATGTCTATAAAATCATAAGTGACACAAAGAAGGTGAGTAGGGAATGATTGTTCCTGGTCCCTTCCACAGAGGAGGTGGGGACATCAGATGATAGTAATGGGAGAGAAGTTCAAAATAAGGAAGTGACGGTGATTTTTTTAAAGAACGTACGGTTGATCTATGGACCTTCTTGCCACAGGATGTTGCAGGTGCTAAAAGTTTGTATACATTCAAGGTACAATGCCCAAGCTCATGGAAGAGAAATCCATTGAGTCTTACTAAAACCAGTGAAACGATATTTGGCATAGGAAATCCCTGAGGTCCACATAATGAAGCTGGGTACGTGAATACTTGGGGAAAATGTCACATATAAGTATACCAGTAACATACTCTTCCCCAGCCATCTGCATGTGATCTCTGTTGGATTCAAGGTAGCTGTGCACTGTGTCCCACTGTGCGCTGTGGTTGTGGTCTGGTACCCCAGTACAATGTCCCTTTAGAAAGGAGTGAAAACTATTTGGATTGTCCTCCTGAATGGACCTTACATATATTGTAATAAGGAGGTTTTTTCCATGTCTCATCTAAAAGGCACCATGGAAAAAAAAGCTTTGAAGGAGGCTGAATGGATTTTCCTGAGACTTTCATAGCTACACTCTGGCAGACAATAAAGTAGTATTCTCTTTTTTTGTAGAGTTACATATAGATGCACATGGTCTTTGAGAGTTTTCCACTGAAGAACAGACAAGGCCTGGAAAAATCAAAGGCAGGGAAGACTTCAACAGAATACTCATTTAATGTCAGCCCTTACGGTCTGACCCTTTGCCTCCCTTGCCTATACCTTCCTGCAGTTCTGCGTGATGTCTATAGCCCAGCCTTTCTGTAACTGGGAAGAGACAGATTTTGCGGTGGATTGGTGTTCTGCAGTCCAGGATTGGAATAACACTCTGAGACATGACATTTCTTCATGCCGAACTATTCTTCTTGGTGCCAACCCAGATGAGCTCTGTCTTGAAAGCCTAAGCAGCTGGAAGGGATTATAAAAGAGAGAGAGAGTGCTAATGACATCACTTCCAATCAAGGTGAAAGTTATTTAGACTGCCCTTGATCATTCAAGTTGTACCTCATTAAATATCAGACAAACCTGCCTTCTGTGGTCATATTGCTGTATCGTGGGACCTCAGCAAACTGGTTAGTATACGAGTAGTATAGATAGTAGTTACCTAGGTGTGGTCCCATGTAAAGCTCCGTATGTACCTTTCTCACTGTTATGTCACTCCCTTGGCTTCTTAGGTGATGCGTTTGCTATACCCAACGTTAAGGTCTTCTATTTGATCTTTCTTCTTCATCACAGAACAGTGAGAAATACCAGTGGAATGTTTAATCTCTCTATTTGTCTTTCAGCATTGTGTTTCTTATGGTTCACATGGAGCCATCTCTCTATACTCTGGTAAAGAGTTATGACATTCATGGAGAGGAAGTTAGGCTGAATTTTGGTAGCTGAAATCTGCTACCAAAGCTTTTGCTTCCATCTTTACCTGACACAAGTAAACTCCAGCTACTTGGAGACTAACCCTGTGCTCTGCAGTGGGCTATTTCCTGGTGTTAATGATCCTCTGTGCCCCTATTCCTCTGCTAATTACTGACCTTCCCATTTTTCCCAGAGGCAGTCTCTGGTGTTAAGGTGACAGTGGTTTGTTTTAAATTTGAGATTTTCTGAATTTCAGAGAACATGCACAGCTGGAGTTTACTTTAAGTCTTTCTTTGGTGTATTTCAAACCCCTCATTTCAGAGTGCTGAAGGCAATGACTATGGTGTATATTCCTTAAAGCCACATTGTACTGGAGAAATATGTGACTCTGATCCCCTTATACATGAATTTGTAAAGTCTTATTCCAGCTTAATGAATAAAGTCCCTTCTTTTCCCCAACTTCATGGTGAATATACGGTAAAAAACATTTGTCTGATATTGTGGAAAGTGAGTACGACATGAGGCAGAATAGAAATAAGAATTTCTGGATATTCTATCTACCTGTGTGAATTGGAGAGAAATTATAGCCTGCTGGTGTCTGTGCTTTCCTATCTGTAAAACAGGGATATGGATATATTCCTATCTTATGGGAGAGCTATGAGTCCCAAGTTAACTACAACAAAGTCTGTGACAAATCTTAGAAATTAAATTGTGAGATAGTGTGTAAGCATATAATATTAATGTTTTATAATCTCCCTAAACTGTCTCTGTGGATATCTTTGGTGAGAGAGATACAGTGATATCAAAATAAATCTTTTTTCACCCCAACCATTTTCTTCAGAATTCAAAGTGAAAGCTGTTTCCACCAACTGCCAACTCTGCAACCATCTGGGAAATCACATTTTCTGAACTTTTCTTTCTCTTTATCAGCTGTAACTAAAGCTATAAAATGGGAAGATGCCCCTGGTTTAATTAACACCCCTGTAGTTCAAAAGCTGATCTTAGTAATGAGAGGCAATTATAGCCTTTACTGAGGGACAGTCTGGTGGAACAAACCTAGCATCAATCTACTGATGACACATCCCTTTCCAGGTAATTTGGAAAACTGCTTTTTATGATCAACAGGCTACCTGGCCCAATACACCAGGTGAATCTCTTTGTTTTGTAACCTGAAAAGAACTTCCTAGTTTGAATTATATGCTTCTTTTGTAAACTCGTTTTTACATCCCATCCATCTGCCAACAAGTAGCAACAGAGCTAAGGAAATACCTGTTGCTTTTTGGAGCACATTCTTGGTGGTTTTCTCATTTTATTTTCCTTGTCCGCAGTTGCTTTTCATTTTGAAGGTTGTCTGGGGTTCATATTTTTGTTCTAGCAGAACTGTAGTCTGTGTGGTGTGCCCACATGGGCTATAGAGAGTTCTGGTTTCTGCACCTCAAAAATGATGTGACAGAGGTAGAGAAGGTCCAGAGAAGGTCATTGAAATTATCAAGGGAATATGGTTTCTGCTATATGAGCTAAAAAGGCTGTGGCTCCAGTTCAGATGGGAGAAAACTGAGGGCAGAGATAAAGCTGAGTTTAGCTGAAGTCATAAAGGTGGCAGATAAGGTCGATGTAAAACTTCAATACTAGAGCTAAGGAGCACAAGCTGAAGCAAGATCTGCTTGAAATGATAAAGTACTTTTCTACACAGCAGAGAGTGAACTCCTGGAATCTATTTCCACAGGAAATTGAGGAGGTGGGCAGTGTGAACAGTTTCAGAAAAAGGATTAGATAAATTCAGATCAGCAGGTCCATCACCTGAGTCTGAAGGTGATGGGCAGGGCTGAGCCAGTCTGAGGGGAATGGTCCTGCCTCAGTAGCATCTCAGGTGCTGTCTGGCCTCCAGCTTCTGATCTGTAAGAGTGTGGGTCTGTTATATACCCTGTGTTTCATCTGCCAGCCCTCTGTAGATATCCTCATATCTCAGGGATCTTAAATTATCCTAGATGTCTGAATTCTTCTGCAGTTAACAGACATCTAGTCAGTCTAATGGGGACCTAATTAATACAGTCAGTGGAACAGTCACTGATGTCATTTAATTTCGCCGTAAGGTAGACTTGGGATGGTCAGTTAAATAACTCACTACTGGCTGTTTTCACTAAATCTTTGTTGACTGTAATGGGGGCTTGGACACCTAGCACACATGTAGATACCAAAATTTGTCTATTAATCTCGAACTGAGTTCTGTCCCAAGATTTCTATCGCAAGATTTCTATTATAATGACTGTAGAGAAATAGGTGTCTCCTGAGAATAACTCATTGCCATGTTTTAGGCACCCAGGTGTAGTTGAGAGGGACTGCAATTGGGAACTGCGTATTTCTATTCACTTACTTCAAGGGGAGTCTAGATAGCGGTACCCACATGGTCAATCCACACCATGGCCAGATGAGTCCCAGCCATCCCATTTTGGAGGCTTTGGTACTGTCACTTAGAATCTTAGCTGTAAGAAATGTGGATTTTTAAAGCAGTGTGATGTGAAAAAGTGAAATTTTAATTTCAAAACAGGCAGCCCCCACCCCCCTTTTAGTTTGGTTTAGAATAAAGGTTTAGCCATGATTTTACTGACTGTAAACTATGCTGTGAAAGACACTATACCCAGGATATCAGTTTAATGTCCTGACGAATTTGCCTTTGCCAAACTAGCAGTAAAAGCTGTAAAACTATAAAACAAGCTGGTAAGTGGTTTATTCTTCAATAATTAAAGATAGAGCAAGCATTAAATCCCTGAAGTCCTATGGTGTTCCAGCAGTGAGTGGCTTTCTTAGAGTGTCTAGGAGAAAGGTTTGTTCAGTATGGAAGAGTTCAGAAAGGAATTTCTTTGGTTGGTGGGTTTGTGGATGTTGTTAACCCCATGATGCCAGTAGACACAGAATTTGGATGCCATCAGTGTGCTCTTGTTTTGAGACAAGGCAACACCAACTTCTCTCACAAATAAGTTGTGGATGCCCCATCCCTGGAGGTGTTCAAGGCCAGGCTGGATGAGGCTTTGAGCAACCTGGGCTAGTGGGAGGTGTCCCTGCCCATGGCAGCGGGGTTGGGACGAGATGATCTTTAAGGTCCCTTCCAACCCAAACCATTCTATGGTTCTATGATTCTAAATACTTTGAACAAGTCAACCTATTTCCAAATTTTCTACTACTGCATGTGATAGAGGGTGGACATGAAGTTTCTTTAGCAAAGGAATGTGATGTAATCTTGTTTAGGAGACTGCACAGTTATTTGAAGTGGGATGGATTGCCTGTTCTTTCATCTTTCCTATTCCTGTGTGTACAGCTATGTTATTCTGTGTCTTATTTGCTTCGGATACAGGTCAAGGGCGAGAAGATAGAAAGAATGTGTGACTGCACTATTCCTGTAGCTTTGGATCTGGCTGTGGCATCAGAGTCTCTGCCATTCATGTGGCTCATGTGAAGGGGGGAGCTGTGATCATCACCTGCCTTGCTGACTGTCTTGTCTTTTCATTCCCTTTCCAGGTTATGGACACGCTGCCCCAGGGACGGATGCAGGGAAGGCCTTTTGCATGTTCTACGCTGTCTTGGGGATCCCACTGACACTTGTCATGTTCCAGAGCTTGGGCGAGCGCATGAACACCTTTGTCAAGTACCTCTTGAAACGCATCAAAAAGTGCTGTGGGATGAGGAGCACTGAGGTCTCCATGGAAAACATGGTCACTGTGGGTTTCTTCTCCTGCATGGGAACACTCTGCATTGGAGCAGCAGCCTTTTCCCAGTATGAGGAATGGAGCTTTTTCCATGCTTACTATTACTGCTTTATAACATTGACTACGATAGGGTTTGGAGACTATGTGGCCCTGCAGACCAAAGGGGCCCTTCAAAAGAAGCCTCTCTATGTGGCTTTTAGCTTTATGTACATTCTAGTGGGGTTGACAGTCATTGGGGCATTTCTAAATTTGGTTGTTCTCAGGTTCTTAACCATGAACAGCGAAGACGAGAGGCGGGATGCCGAGGAACGAGCGTCCCTGGCAGGGAACCGCAACAGCATGATTATTCACATCCAAGAGGACTCCCAGCATGGTCGGCCACGGTACAAGGCCGAAGTAACAGACCTTCAGTCAGTTTGTTCCTGCATGTGTTACAGGTCCCACGAGTACACCAGCCGGGTGGTGTCCCACCAAAATTCGTTCAGCTCGAAGCTGAACCCCCAGTACTTTCACTCCATCTCTTACAAGATAGAGGAGATCTCGCCAAGCACATTAAAAAACAGCCTTTTCCCATCTCCTGTCAGCTCCATCTCACCTGGGTTGCACAGCTTTACAGATAACCACAGGCTGATGAAAAGGCGAAAGTCCATTTAAAGGGATTGGTCTTCTTTTGCTTTCCTTGTTTTCCCCTTGTTTTCTTCTCCATTCTTTTGGGGTTTTTTTTATTCCTTGAGTGAGACAGAGCGAGGCCAAAGGGAGTGGAGAAAGCCAGTCCTCCTCTGAGACTCAGCTCTTGAGCATGAAGCATGGATTATTACTGTTCCAGCAAAGTATGCCTTACATTACCCCCTCGGTGGATATCAGAGGATTCAAGGTGACGTGAAGTGGGTACCAAATCCAAAGTTGCACACACAGCTGGGAGCCTTCATGTGCCGCTGGCACTCCTGACCTAATAAACTCTTTTCCTCATGAGCAGGTTGCAGCGTGCGTGCTTGCGTGCGTGTTGGGTGTGTGTGTGCAGATGTGTGTGTGCGCGTGCAATTCCACAACTAGTGCCATGTGACAAAAATTAAAGCATCAGGTATTATTTTGGTTTTTTCCCTTGAAGCAATTGTGTTCCAGCCTGCTTTTAACTTTTAGATTGCTTCCAAAAAGAACGGGGAGGGTGGGAGGGGAGCAAATTTGGGTTTTTTTTTGCCAACAAGCATGCGCCATAAGCAGTCAATATACCAGGTGTATCATGATAAATTTTTTAATGCTAGATTTTAGATTGTATTAACATTTTAAAAAGGCAGGAAAAGATGGATCATTTTCGCTTGCCAGTTTGAAATTAAAAAAAAAAATAAAATAAAGCATGCACTTTGTAAAACTGGTATGCATAATAAAAACACAAGAGAAACTATCAATGGAATTAATAATCAAAAGCAAATAATCCTATTGATTTAACTATACTTTTATAATTTTCAACTGTTCCAACAATTTGCAAGTGAAATTTTTAAGAAAAATTGGAAGAATTGCTGGAACTAAAGTGTGTATTTTGTTATTTTTCTTTTATTTATAAATTATTATTATTATTATTATTATTATT